TCATTCCTCTATCTACTATTAATAATAAAATGTTAGTAAATATTATTAATTTTATATTGAAAATCAACAAAACTAACCATTAATATAGGAAGCACGTTAATCCCATTAATCACTATTAGAAATTAAAACGATGTATTAATGCTTTTTTAAAGTATAGATTGCATAAAAGAAAGGAAACAATAATTAAGGGTGTTTTCAAAATTTAAGTAACTGATGATGTTGTGAATTTAAAAGAGTCAAGTTAATTGAAAAAGATAAAAATGAAAATATTCCTATTTTAAAATTTTTGGGACTCAATTACGATATGAGAACTACAAAATGTTCGTAAATTTTTATATTTAATATCTAATTAATAGTATCTATTACAGTAGTTAAAACTAACAAAAAATAAATCGGTGTAGATAAGAGTTCAAGGTTTAAAGTTCATACTAGAGTCGGGCCTAGGTCGAATCGAAAATACTTCATTAAATTTTTTAATATAATATAAAGTATTGTTTACTTTTTATTACAAAACAAATATGTTTTTGACATTTTCTATTAATATAGTTATACCTAAGTGAATATAGAATTAGTAAATAAAAATAAGTAATAAATTTAGAATTTGATCTTGAAATTTTTTAAAAGAACAATACTAATTTATAGGCTTTTAACATGATTGCGTAATTCAAAATATGAAAATTTAGTTTGTAAAACAAACATTATAATACTCTAAACTGCTACAAAATTATATCAAAAACAAATCGATCGTACCTGATCAGAAGAGATTGCTGATTGGCCATGCGTCGACGATTGGTAGCTATTCACCGGAGATAGGGAGAAGGAGGGGGTGTATCTGCAAGACACTCTACTTCTTAAGTGAGTAAAGGATCAGAGTCGGAGAAAATACAGAAATGGTGTAGAGAATGGAATAACTGACCCACTAGCAAGAGAGGGTATTTATAGTGAAACCCAAGCGCAGGGCCAACAGTCACTTGCATTGGGCCAGAACGCCAGGCCCAACCCAAGTGACTGCCAGGGCTTATGTGGCATAGTGAAGACCAGCACATGGTCTTCGCCCTAGATCAACTGTCCCGTGATCTCTGGAAGGTGGGCTGACCTGCTCTTTCAGAGGTGGGTAGTTTCCTGATGACGTGTTCCTGCGGGGTGGTCACCTGGCGATCGTGTGAAAGACGTGTGGTTCTGCCCGACAAGGGAGGGTCTGTTTGGCGTATTTAGATCTGTCCCCGATATGGGGGATATGGGCCTTGTTGGGCCTTCCCCAAATAATGTTGGGCATGGCCTGCCCCGACGGATGTGCAAGTCTTGGCCCACTCTAGAACACAAACCATGAAAGCAAAATTTTTAACAGTGGTCGTAAAATTCAAAATATGAAAGGTAGTGTGAGAATATCCATTAAAAACCCATTGAAATTTATGTAAAAAGAAAAAAATATTCTATATTCAGTTTATTCGTCCTCTACCCCATAAAAAAATGGAAATTTATTTTTCTGTAACTTATTCTCCTTTTAACAACTTCTATTCTTTTTCTAGTCCCACACAATTGCCAATCACACATAATAAATATATTCTCTTTTACTTCTACACTTATTAAGAAGGAATTTTTAAAATTTCTTTTGAAGATCATGAGTCATTCTCTGTCTAAGATTTAAATTTTTTTTTTATTTAAACCACATGATGCTCTAGTTTTTCCCGATTTCAGTGGTTCTCAATCAGTTTCCATAGTTTTTGTTTTGATAGGTTATTTAACTTAATTGGACATGCCACTGTTCTGGTTTCCTGCTCAACAGGTCAAAGCGTCCAGTCCGATACGGTTTTTACTATAGCGCTTCTATAAACTTTATCGCTTGTTTGAGAAAATAAATTAAATGTTTAACTCCTTTATAAAAGTTCTAGAATCTTCTATGTTAAAACAAACAGGAAAATTAGGGAGAATTGAGTCTTCAAAGTGTTTGGTTAAGTTTGGTCTCCATCATATTCATTTTTAAATAATATGCAATGGAGCTTTTGTTATAATCTGAATTAGGGTAGTTTAGGCTATATATGTTTTAATATACATATTATCTTTATAACTACTAGCGTTCAAACGGGCACTCCCGTGCCCGTCTGTCCGCTTTTCTTAATGCGCACAACATAGGAAAATAAACGCGTGTATATTATGTGTGAAGTTACTTGCATATTATACTTGCATATTTTCTTAATGCGCACAACATAGAAAAATAAGTGGACAGACGGGCACAAGAGAGATATCATCACAAATATGAAGATTAAGAACTGAGATCTTTATCTTGAGAATTAAGAACTATCTGAGTCTAGGTGAGTTTATATATATTCCATCATAAAATGAATTGATTGGACATCTCACCATATGTAAGTTGTCACCAAAAGGTTAATTGGAAGACTATTGTATTGTCTATGCATCTTGTTCGATCATTCATATTACTCACTGTGGGCTACAAAGCTCGTTACACACTCACGTTAAAAAAAGAACAGGTACAATAAAAAATGCGGTGAAATCAAGCCAAGATAAAGGGCTTATAGAAGCCTACACAGTCCAGTCAAAACATGATAATTAGCTAATAAACAAAAAACCCTACAATTTACACTTTCAAAACACGATCCAGTCACATGTTAAGCATTGTGACTTTAACCGCCTTCTAAGAGTGTCTCTGTATAAGTGAGCTCACTCAGGCCAGATCAAAGAAATGATTTCACATGTGACTTATGAAATGCTTTTCAGAATTGATCCGGGCACATAAAACTTCCAATTACGGATATCAACAAAGAAATAAATTCAAATAAGTCAAATGTTTTGAATAAATCTCCTTATGTTGTGCTTACTCAATGGGAACCATCTTAACCCGCAAATTTCAATTTTTGGTCTGACCTGGGTGGATTAGAAATACATCTTTAAAATTAATATTTGAATGTATTTCTTTCTTTTATCGTGTGTAGAGCATTTGTTGTCTTTGATCTCTCAGGTTTTATTGCACCTTTTTATTGGTTAACTATGTTAATTTATGTGCGTTAATTTATTGCACCTTCTATACTAAGTAGAGAGAGAATGGGAAGAGGGCGGCCGCGGAAAATATCGGTGCCTCCACCACCATTATCGCCGGTGGTCTCTACCCCGGTATCTCAATCTCAATCGGTTTTGCGAAGTAACACTGGTGGCAAGAATCTGAACACAGCGGAAGGTGCGGGAATCACATACTTTGGAGAAACTTCAGGAACTTCAGATGCTCGGGAAGACGAAAGTATTGGGGAGAAGCGCAACAATATAGATCTGGAAAAACCTAATTCAACCCCAACTCCAGAAGAGGGGAGAAAGCTATGGGCTGATGTTCTAAAGGACAATAGGAATCCGGCGAAAGGTCGTGCTATGAAGTTCATACCCCCTCAAGTTGTGGAAGGGAAAATCGAGGTACAAATTGAAGAAGATGATGTCAGTTCTGAAGTCAAGTTCTGGGAATCTTCTCTGATTCTCTATGCAATGGGAGCGGATTTGAGTATGAATGCTGTCAAAAATTTTATGACCAGGTCTTGGAACTTTGTTCAACTGCCGGACATGTATTTCAATGATGAAGGGTATTTCATTCTCCGGTTCAAATCGTTCACAGATCGAGATGAAGTGTTGCTGAGAGGGCCGTACATGTTAAGAAACATCCCTTTGTTGATTCGTGAGTGGAGGCCAGATTTCAAGATCAAGGATGAGCTATTACGAACCCTACCTATTTGGGTTAAACTTCCTCAACTCCCTATCGTGTTGTGGGGAGATACAAGCCTGAATAAAATTGGAAGTGCCCTGGGTAAACCTATTATGACAGATGAATGTACTGCTAATAGACTGCGAGTATCCTATGCGCGTATTCTTGTTGAAATGGATATTACCAAGGAACTACCTCAATCAATCACCATAGCGGATCATGCTGGAGAAAAGATGCAACAAGCTATTGAGTATGAGTGGAGACCTCTTTTCTGCAATAAGTGTCAAAAGGTAGGTCACTGCTGTGATAAGCCTAAGTTGAGGAAACAATGGTTACCTAGAAATGTGATACAACCTGAAACTAATGTGTTGTCTAAGAAGGTTGAGGATGATTATAAAGGGCCAAATGAAATAGGAATTGTCAACTTGGATATAGTTCCAAGCAGGAAGGGTAATGCTAATTCTACTGCTGCTGAGATTCCTGCTATCAGAAATAAGGAGGTGGAAAAAGTTATAGAAAAATGGACTGAGGTTATTAAAAGTGGAAGAGGTCGAGGTAAACAGATAGGTAAGGTTGGTGCTGCAGGTGTGAGTTCACATGACAATGGGTTTGATGCTCTAGAGATTTTGAAAGATCTCCTAGAGGTTCAAGACACTGGCCAATGATTGTCTCCTGGAATATCAGGGGGCTGAATAAAATGGGGAAGTTAAAGGAGACTAGCTCCCGTCTCCTAAACCTTCATCCCAACATTGCTATTCTACTTGAAACTAGAGTAAAAGTTGATAAAGCTAAGAAGGTTAGAGATTGTCTTAACCTCAGAGGTAAATATATTGACAACTATCAGTCTCACTACAATGGCAGGATATGGATTTATTGGGATGACAGTGATAAGGACATCAGAGTGGTGACTTGTACAGCTCAGATGATACATTGTGGAATTTATGATGTCAATGGTAAATTCCAAACCTGGATGACAGCCATTTATGCTATGAATCAGCTGGACCAAAGAAGGAAGTTATGGGAGGATTTGGTGAATCTACATAACAACCAACAAGGGCCTTGGTTCCTTATGGGGGATTTTAACAATGTGACAAAGTCCATGGATAGGATTGGGGGAAATTTGGTGACTGAGAGAGAATATGTTGACTTAAGAAACTTGATGGACTATGCTGGGCTTTTTGAGAAGGATAGCACAGGTGATTATTTTACCTGGACAAACAAACATGCTGTAGGAACTATCTACTCAAAAATTGATCATGTGCTTGGTAATATAGATTGGCTGCAGGAAAACACTGATATGAAGCTTGAGATTCTCCCTCCTAGTATTTCTGATCACTGCTTGCTGTGTTTGGCTGACCAGAAAAGAAACAGAATTGTATACACCAACTTCAAGTTCACTAATAGTGTGATTAAAGTGGATGGTTATCAGGATATTGTAAAGCAGAGTTGGCAAAAAGTGTGTATGGGTAGACCTATGACTCGTTTGTGGTACAAGTTGCTGAGATTGCAAGCTCCTCTTATCAAATTGAGCAAGAAGTTCTCTCACCTCCATATGTCCATTATTAAAGCCAGGACTGCTCTTCTCAAAGCGCAGGAAGATTTAAGGGTGGACAGAATGAATGCAAGCAACATTGAGAAGGTGAGACAATTTACTGATGAAGTGATTTCTCTGCAGGACCTTAATGTTAACATGCTGAGACAGAGATCTAAATTGGACTGGCTTAGAGAAGGTGATTCAAATTCAGCTTTTTTCTATGCCTACCTCAATTCTAGAAATGCAGCTACTCATATCAATCAATTACAAAAGGAGGATGGCACTTATATTCAGAGCTTACCTGACATTGAGAAGGAGGTTTGTGACTTTTATACAAAGCTGTATGGGAGTCAAGCTCAGAGGGTGAATATGATTGATCTCAATGCTATGAGGGAGGGGTCACAGCTAACTATGTTGCAGAGAGCTGATCTCATTTCCCCTGTCACTGTTGCTGAAATTCGTACTGCTATTAATGGGATTGGTGACCTTAAGAGTCCAGGCATTGATGGGTATGGTGGGAAATTTTTTAAGGCAAGTTGGAATATCATTGAGCATGATGTTGTTGAAGCTGTTCAGGAATTCTTTGAGGAAAATGTGTTGTACAAAAGATTTAATGAAACTATTGTTACATTGATTCCTAAACATCCTGCTGCAAAAAGGATTAATGATTATAGGCCTATTGCAGGGTGCACAACTATTTATAAAATCATATCTAAAATCCTCACTGCGCGACTTGGGAGAGTTTTGGGGACTATTATCAGTAAAACTCAGGCAGCTTTTGTTCCTGGCCAGAATATTCACTCTCATATTTTATTGGCAACGGAATTATTAAAAGATTACAATAGAAATAATGGTACGCCTAGATGCATGATCCAGCTTGATATTCAAAAAGCATATGACATGGTTGACTGGGGTGCTCTTCGTAATATTCTCAATGAGATTGGGATGCCACAGAGATTTGTTGAATGGATCATGACTGCTGTTACTACAGTCTCTTACAGGTTTAATATCAATGGTAAGTTTTCTGATAAGGTGGTAGCAAGAAGGGGTATTAGACAAGGAGATCCTTTGTCCCCCCTCCTGTTTGTAATTATTATGGAGTACCTTAATAGGCTGCTGTTCAGAATGCAGAGGAATCCGGATTTCAATCACCATGTCAGATGCGAAAGGCTGCAGCTCACCCATCTTACTTTTGCTGATGATCTCCTGCTGTTTTCTAGAGGTGATATAGTTTCTATAGAGATTATGCAGCGCACCGTCAATAGTTTTTTGGATTCAACAGGTATGAAGGTCAACCCTACCAAGAGTAAAGTTTACTTTGGTAGTGTATCAGATTCTGTTAAACAATCAATTCTGAATTTTACTGCTTACGACGAGGGGTCTCTCCCATTCAGATATCTTGGTGTCCCCGTGAGTAGTAAAAAGCTGTCTGTGGTCCATTATTTGCCGTTGATGGATAAACTGTTGAGTAGGATTACGCATTGGAGTTCTCGACTTCTTAGCTATGCCGGTAGATTACAGTTGATCAAATCTGTGTTGTATGCTATTACCTCATATTGGATGCAGTGTGTTTGCTTCCCTAAAACTGTAATTAGAAGAATCAATGCCATTTGTAGAACCTTTCTCTGGACAGGAGGTAACAGCAGTAGTCGAAAGAGTCTGATTGCGTGGGATAAGATTTGTAAACCTGCGGCAAAAGGAGGTTTGAATGTGCTGGATCTAGTGGTTTGGAATAGCATGTTTATGATGAAGTTACTCTGGAATATATCCATGAAAACCGATGATCTGTGGGTTCGATGGATTCATGCTTATTACCTGAAGAATGAGGATGTTATGTATAGAATGGTTAAAAATTCAGATTCAATTATTTTTAAAACTATTCTGATGCAGAGGGAAAATATTGGCACTATGCAGGGGGATTGGAATGCGATGGTGCAAGCAGGGAGATTCATTGGTAGGCGAGTGTATGCGCACTTATTGCCTGCCACACCTAAGGTTGCCTGGTCCAGGTTAATTCTCCACAATAGAGCTAGACCCCGTGCCATATATACTCTCTGGATGACCTGTCATGGAAAGCTAGCCACAAAAGTTAGATTGAATCGTTTTGGCATGGTGGATAATAACCAATGTGTCTTCTGCCCTGCGGCGGAAACCATTGACCATCTATTTTTTGATTGTGCTACTTTGAGGAAGATTTGGGTTGAAATACTTCACTGGATTGGTATCCCTCACAATCCTGGGGATTGGACAGAGGAGCTAAACTGGATGTTGAATTGTTTTGGTGGTAAAGGTTGGAAAGCCGATCTTGTTAGATTAGCTCTGACTGAAACGGTACATGAGGTGTGGAGGTTTAGAAATGACACTTGTTTTAATCAGAGAAATGACAGTAGGAATTGTACAGATAGAATTATTAACAACATAGTCTATAGAGGGTGGTCGAGCCCTAAGCTTAGACCACATATAGCTCTTTTGATGGTTCAGTAGGTCTTTTTGTTTTGGGCTGGATTTTGATCGCCTTGTTTTGTTCTTTACTTTGGATTAATGATATTTTTGATTCAAAAAAAAAAAAATAAGAAAGGTAATACCTGAGGAGGAAATCTCTCAAGTATTACCTTATGGCACATAGTCTTGATAGCGTCCAAACGGGCACGACACACGCGTCAAAATACAAACGAATATTTTTTATTTAATTTTGATTTAAATTTACACTACAACATTTATTGTCTCTTGCAACACTGGAAAAGTGTTGCTAGAGTTATGAAAATCGTTGCCTAAAAGAATAGGCAACAATTTCCAGGTGTCTTTTATGCTAGCGTTGCCTATTATCTAAGGGGACGCTTATTTTTCTCTTTAGGCACACTATTCATAATCGTTCCCTATAATAATAAGATAGGGGACGTTTTCTCGCTTAACCTTTAAGCAATGCTTTTTAAGTGTTGCCACAAGCACCAACAATTATAAATCGTTGCCTTAGAGTAATATTTTGTTTTGAAAAGTTTCTACAATTTACACAATTCAACAATATTTAAAAATTAGGACAATTGTAGGGCTCAGTTCATATACAATACTTTAATGTTCGTCATCCAAGAAGAGTTGAACTTATACACAAAATTTAAATTAAGTAATAAAATACATAAATTAAAATTTTATATTAACTAATAAAAAGATAAATTTATAATAAGATTCTTTAAACTAATTTAATAATTTAGTTTGTCAAGCACAAAAATTATGTACTCATAGCTATGGACAAGTGACAAATTCAGTTTGTATTAGAAGTGCAATAAATCCAATTACTCTAATAATGAATATACATTAAACAGTTGGTGTGGTCATCCCACCATCATGAAGTTCCTTCCTCTCTTGAACACTACTGGCCATATGAATCCTTCCTTGCAAAGTGCTAACTCATCGGGGAGGATTTAATAAGAACCACATTCATGTTGAAGGAAAGTTGAGTGAATTGGTCACTATATGTATAACAAATTCTTCTTGTTCCTGCATTTTAAAAGTGGTTATCAAGTTTTATTACCATTATATATACAAACTTAATACTTTTAAGAAGATATCAAATTTAACCAAAAAAATATAAACATAAAGATTTAACCTTTCTTATAAGGAAGAAAGATCACACAAAACTTGAATAAATACCTCAACAAAGTTATTATAAAAAAATAACTGTAAATTAAAAAAAAAAATGCACAAAGTTAATTTATAGAAGAAAGAGTTCTCGAACTCCAACTTGACGTCAATCTCGCAAATAGTTCTAGAGCTCCAACTTGATGTCAATCAATCTTCTGGCATCTAAATAAAATAGAAAACATTAATAATTAAAAAAATGATACAAATTCATATAAATAAAAAAATCAAAAGGTTTTGTTTTTACCGTTTTTAGGATATTGGAAAAAATAACCACAATTCACAAAGATTTCAATGTAGAATTAGTAACTATTTGTAAAAGGTAAAATCGAATTAGGAATGGAAATAGAAAATCGATATGGGCAGGAAAATCACTACAGAGAATGAACAATCGATTAAATGAAGGAACAATCTATTCCGTGAAGGAACAATAGATTATGGAAAGGAACAAGCATTTCAGAGAAGGGAAATCGATTTGGAAAAAAATTATATGGTGAAGGAACTGTCAATTCGGTGAACATTCTATTTGGCGAAGGAACGTTATTTTGAAGATAAAAATCAATTTGGGAAAAAAATGATCCAGTGAAGGAACAATCAATTTCGTGAATCCGCATATTCTCTTGTTCAACCTCCATTGAATCAAAGGACATAGAAGAAAAAGTAAAACAGTGAAGAAAATTGTGAAATTTGGAATTGATTTAGAGTTTCTGTTGTGAAAGATAGTTAGGCATAAGCTGCGGCGGCACAAAGAAGGTTGAGAGAAATTAGGGTTCGAAGGTTTTAAGAGAAGAGTGATTTCAAACTAGGGATACTCAGTTGTTTTGTTAAGCTTCCTTTAAATTTATTTATAATTTAAAAAAATAAAAGTAATATGTGTATATGAGTTGACGTTAAACATAAATAAATAATTTATTGTATTAAGTTTTCAATATTTTTTATAAAATAATAAAAAAATAAGAGTGACATTTTTCTATGGAACACTAAAGTTAAAAAATACAATGTTAATCATATTTTATATTTTTTAATTGTGGTTCTTTAAAGTTTTTTTTTGTGTGTTTGTTTTTAAATATTAAATAAAAAACATGACCTATTTATGGTATTATATATATATATATACCAAAATTACGTTTTTTGACACGTCTTTACATTAATCAATTAATTCTCATTATCTATTTATAATTATTATTTTTTCAACAATTTTTTTAAATATTGAAGTAAAGTTAACAAACTTCATTCCTTCTCTTACTTTAAAACACGTTAGATAAAAATTATTAAAAATATATTGACTATATAAAAAAATTAAAATATGGTAGTTTCAATACTAAAAAGTATAATTTTTTTAAAATTAAATATAAAAAAATTTAATCATTTAAAAAACATTTTTTATGTTTTAAATAAATATCTATTTTATAGTTATATATTATTATAGTTATATATTATTATAATTATATATTATTTTATTATGTGTTAGAAGATTTTTAATATATATATTTTTAATAATGTTCAGAGGAAAATATTTGTTTTTTAGTGTATAAGTTTTGGAGGGAAGATTGTCACAAAAATTTGATGATGCTAAACTTTTATGCAACATTGAAGAAATGTAGCATTTTATTAGAATTAATGTAATAATCTAAAAATGTCCCCAAAACTATTTTAGGAAACAATTGTCAAACATTGCTAAAGAAATAATATATTAACGCTCTAAAATCGTCCCCAAAAGCAGTTAATGGCACAATTAACAATCGTTGTCAAAAAAAATAAAAGAGTGACGTTCCAAAAACGTCCCCAAAAGTATTTTAGACAACAATTATGAAGGGTTGCAAATATATTTTTGGCAACAACCATAAATTGTTGCCTATATGAATTTAAGGCAACAATTATTACATGTTACCTAAAAAAGTGTTGCCAGAGACAACAAATGTTGTAGTGTTAAATTATTTGTATAGTAAACTTTGTAATATGCATTCCTCTCTCCCCCCTCCCCCCCTCTCTCTCTCTTATAAATTTGATGAAAGTGTTTAGAGAGGAGTTTATAGAGTAAACTGAACAACACATACATCCCCTGCGAATATGTATGCTCCACACACGACTCTTCTCGTGCTTGTCTTTTTTTTAATGAGCATACACGTCAAAATATAAACAAATATTTTTTTTATTATTTAAGTATGATTTAAATTTAAATTATTTGAATACTAAATTTTCTGATATGCATCCTTATGTTTGTAAGAAATTTTAAAATGTCATTTATTTAATTAATTAAAAGTTAAATTATTTTTCAAATTAAATTTGTAAGTAATATGACATTTATTGCGCATCTCTCTTTAACATCAAAAATAAAAATCGTAAATAAAAAATTAACAACAAAATTCAACTAATTTAAGAAAGTGAATGATCAGTGTTTCAAATTTTCAATAATTCACAATAAATTTTTTTGTTAATATTTTTATTTTATTTTTTCATACTTAAAGTTTTGTTCAATAGCAAGGTCACACATATAGACTTAAAAGATAAAATAATGGAAGTTATATATTTTTGCAACTGTCATTGTGTATTTGAACAGTATATTAAGTATTAATAAATGTGACAACATTTTTAAAACTGTTTTATCAAGATACATAATTTTTTGAGGAAATGGTTTTTATTTCTATAGTACATATGGAAGTTAACAATGTACAAAATATTAAAATTGTGTGTACCAATTAAGTTTGTGAAAGATTTTCAAAAAGATTTCATTTTATACCGTTATATTACAACCTTCCGTTATAGAGTAAACTGAACAACACATACATCCCCTGCGAATATGTATGCTCCACATACGACTCTTCTCGTGCTTGTCTTTTTTTTAATGAGCATACACGTCAAAATATAAACGAATATTTTTTTATTTAAGTATGATTTAAATTTAAATTATTTGAATACTAAATTTTCTGATATGCATCCTTATGTTTGTAAGAAATTTTAAAATGTCATTTATTTAATTAATTAAAAGTTAAATTATTTTTCAAATTAAATTTGTAAGTAATATGACATTTATTGCGCATCTCTCTTTAACATCAAAAATAAAAATCGTAAATAAAAAATTAACAACAAAATTCAACTAATTTAAGAAAGTGAATGATCAGTGTTTCAAATTTTCAATAATTCACAATAAATTTTTTTGTTAATATTTTTATTTTATTTTTTCATACTTAAAGTTTTGTTCAATAGCAAGGTCACACATATAGACTTAAAAGATAAAATAATGGAAGTTATATATTTTTGCAACTGTCATTGTGTATTTGAACAGTATATTAAGTATTAATAAATGTGACAACATTTTTAAAACTGTTTTATCAAGATACATAATTTTTTGAGGAAATGGTTTTTATTTCTATAGTACATATGGAAGTTAACAATGTACAAAATATTAAAATTGTGTGTACCAATTAAGTTTGTGAAAGATTTTCAAAAAGATTTCATTTTATACCGTTATATTACAACCTTCCGTTAAAGTCATCCATAATATTTCAAAAAGAAAAGAGAAGAGAAATGAGATGATGGTTCTAAAAAATAAAAAGGTAGATCTAAAAATGAGATGATAATAATTTTTTTGAATTTTTTATTCATTTATATTTTTATGTGCGTGCTCATTAAAAAATTCAACAAAAAAATGTTAATATGAGAAATTGATATGTAACACTCTTATATCCTCTTCTCATCTCTCTTTTTATTCCATATGTCAAATAATGTTAACCAAATTAATGATTTTTTAATATGAAAAAAACACAAACCATCTCCAAATCATAATTAAATTACCACACAAATAGATAGTTACAATAACAAATAGCAAATCAAAAGTAAGATAGAAA